CATTTCAACTCACTAATGCCTAGGATATTAATTTTTATGTGTTCCATTTCATTTTTGACAACTTCCAATTTTCCTAGATTCATATTTTGTACATTGCATGTTCTGATTAATGGATGTTTGCAGCTATTTGTCCTCAATTTGAGTCATGCCATGTCAGCACACAGAGATCCTGAAAGACTTACTTTATCCATATCATTAAGGTGTGAGTCATTATGCTATACTATGTCTAAGTACAACCATTAATGTTAGTGTATTTTAGTTCTTATAATTTTACATGGCCAATCTCCTCTGCTTTATTTCAGTGAGTGGATGTCCTGTACTTTAAATAAGTAAATATTTTTTAAATGAATGAATGAATAGACATATGAATGAAATAAGCCTAGCACCTGGCTAGGTCAATTATATACACATGTGTATACATATACCCCATCCCACTGCCATTGAGTCAAGAGAGCAGTGGTGGTACAGTGGTTAAGCACTCAGCTGCTAGTTAAAAGGTCAGCAATTTGCACCCACTAGCTGCTCTCTAGGAGAAAAGATGTGGCAACCTGTATCTGTAGATTATAGCCTTGGAAACCCTTTGGGGGCCATTCTACTCTGTTCTATTAGGGATGCTGTGAGTCGGAATCAACTTGATGGCAATGTGTGTGTATGTGTGTGTAAATATTCCCATCCCATCTTCAAAAGACTGTCATAAGGTGGGAACTATCACTCCTACATTTTATAGCTAAGAAGATTAGGTACTAGAGAGATTAAGTGCTTTGACCATGGGTAAACAGGTAGTTGAAGGTAGAAGTGGGATTTGAACTTAGGTCTTCCTGACTCCAAAGTCAGTACACATACCCACTATACTAACTGTCTTTAGAAGTGACTTGTATTTAATAGATTAGCTCACTGATTCTTGACCAAGGGTATCTTCCTCCCACCCCTACCCCAGGGCATATTTTTCAATGGCTATAGACATATTTGGTTGTTACAACTAGGGGAAGAGTGGTACTAGTATTTAGTGGATACACACCAAGGGTTTAACAGCAAAGGATGCTGTTAAACATCCCACCATGTATAGGACAACCCTTCACAACAGAGTTGTCCAGCCTAAAATGTCAAATAGTGCTGAGGCTGAGAAATCCTTGGGTAGCTCAAGAAACTTACTGATGATATGAGATAATTTTTTAAAAATAAAGTACTATAAAACACATGTAAACATGAATCGGGATCTTGTAACTTCTCCCAGCCATTATGAGAGAAATTACTCATCATGCAACAATGTAATTAGTATAATGCAAGACAGCTCAGCTATTATTATAGAACAAACTTGCTGAATAAGTAGAACTTCAGAGTGGAATCAAGAAGACACAGAGTGACTCAACCTTTAATCATTTTGCAGAAAGCTGGAAGCAGTAAATAGACCAGTATACTATACTACAATGCAGAAAAACAAAGCTACTAGAGCTACATTTTAGTCTCAGTGATTTTTTTTTTTTTTTTAAATTGGGGATGAGAAGCAAAGCTTTACTAATTATATTGACAAACAAAATCATAAAAACCTATCTAAATGGCTATTAAGACTTCTCTTAAAATGGGTTCAAATAATTTCCATGGGACCAAAATTCTTGTTTTCTCATTTATAAAAGAAAACAACTTTTATAAATTTCTAAACTTTTTTTTGTCTGAAGTAAACTTTCCTTTGTCTGAAGTAGATACTGGGTCAACTACTTTATTTCTTTTCCTTATTTAATCCATAATCTGTCTTTTCTTCCCATTCCCTTCTTCAAATACCCAGTATACTTTTCATAGCCTATTCCATTCATTAATTTGCTATGTGGAAAATGTAAGCATGAGATTACAAACCAAAACCAAAAATCAAACTCACTGCCACTGAGTCGACTCCGACTCACACTGACCCATCCTTGGCTTTCCAAGACAAAAATCTTTTATGGAAGTAGACTGCCCAGTCTTCCTTCCTAGTAATGGCTGATGGTTTTGAACCACCAACCTTCTGGTTAGCCATCAAATGCCGTAGGCACTACGCCACCAGAGCTAGCAACAACAAAAAAGAACACACTTTTCAGTGTGCTTTCCAAGGAGCCAAAGCAGACACTGAAATGGGCTTCCTTCAACTGTATCATCCACAGACACCATACAAACCTTTCGCTAGGAACTAATCCCCCAAGTATTTCCAGCATCCTGACTTTCATCTATCTTATAAACGGCACACTTAGCTGAGTTTCTTCCAACTGTATCATCCACATATCTTTGATATATAACCCTTTTGCTCTAACCAAATTCCTCATATTTCCAGTATAACAAGAATGCCCGTTATCCTGCCTCCAAGGGTCCAACTCTCAATAAGTGTGAAATCTACCTCCAAAAACCAGCTCCTTGAAAACCAAAGAAATAAGGGAGAAGAAAAATGTTTTTAATAATATAAAACTTAACATGGTAATTTTATGCTACATATCTGTCCACACATTA